TACAGACCACCCAAAATGCCTTTTCAGCGAAAATTAATTTCACAGTATTGTTTTGTATTCTAATCAGAATACTTTGCTATAAATTGCATTGATACACTCAACAACACAATGGTGATATTGAAACAGGCAGATATATTTTTCTCCTATAAGGACCTACATGTACTAAAAAGCCATGGATTTAATAAATGTTTTGCTACCTGTTGTTTAAAGGATATTTATGCTGATCAAGATTTGATTTTCCTTCTCAATCAGGATATTTATCCAAATAGGGTGTTAAATAACTAAATCTTTGTTTCGTTTGCCAAAACTTTCAAAGACAAAATATCCGACCAAGATATATTTATCCTGATCATAATGTAACATTCAATTATCCTGTTTTGCGGTTAGCCTGTTCCATGGTGAGTCCTGTCTGTATATGTCGCTATTTATGCTTACATATGATGCTAGTAATATCTTGTTATAAGGGGATAACTGTTTAGGGTAAAGAAACACTACAGCCGACATCTCAGCCTTTTTTCTTCACCAGCTCAAGAGTCTTTTTTTTTCTGTATAATATTTTTGTGTATTACTCTTGGTATAGATTTATGAAAACTTCATGCATGTTTGAAATTATGCTCACCCAGTAGTCAAAAGGCATCTGTGACTGACAATGTTTACATTGATGGCATTTTCATTCAACTAGTCAAATTTATAGTCAACATCTGACTGCAGTATGTGATATAGGAATAATCTGTATTAGAAGTTGCACTCATTCTTTTTGAACAATTGAGAACTAAAAATTCACCATTTCTCGATTTCTCGTATGTGTAGATGCTCTAATAGGAGCCATGTCCCCTCTGTTGCATTGTACCATTTCAATAGAAGCTGTTGCTTCTAATACAAATTACAGTACTAGCATTGCCACCAGGCATTACTGGGTGCTACAAACCTTAGTGAACACATTCTTAGCTTAATATTATCATTACACAGGTACCGGTAGTTGAGAAAAAAATACCAAAACTGTGTAGCGTATTGTATTCACCATAAAAAAAGTTAGACCACTGTGAAAACGAGTATTTCACATTTATATTTACTACTAACCTGAATCTATATTTCTGTCTAAAACATCAAATATTGATATGCACATATTTTATATTTGGTTTGTAATATAACTGTAGGGGGCAGCTGCAGCTAATGAAAGAGTGAAAGACATTGATGCTTTCCAGAAAGCAAGGACTGTGAAAGTAAACCCTGACAAAGCCCAAGAACATGCTAGATTTCTCACACTTGAAGTAAGTAGCGTTCATAATTAGGCTCATAGTATATCAAATAGAATTGAGAATATTTATATGCACTGTTACCGTGTATGCAAATTAGCCCATGTTGGGACATAAATACAACCAATATACACGTTACAGTTACTCATGTAAACTTGAACCCAGACTATTTCCAAGCCATGTCTGAACGATGGCGACACTTAAAAATGTTTTTTATTGCAATCATTATGCCGCCCCCATGCTTTTCTTTGCATTAGCAGTGATTGTACTTCCACAATCTAGTCCAAAAATATTATATCCACACTCCTGGTAGCAGATTTCATCATCATGCCATGTTTCCGAAATGGCAATGAAATCGTAGTTGCATGCCCTCAGCAAAACTAAAGCTGAAAATCTGTCAGCTTACCTTTAATGCTAGTACAATTTTGATAAAAAAGTTGGAAAGTAGAAGAACTGTTTGACTGCAAAGGACCTGCATGGCTGGAAACATCTCCAACTAAAATAAGTATCAATAGCGTCATGTGAGCTATGCCACAACCACAACTTTAACTTGACTGAATCCACTGCCATTTGTGTTGATTGGGCGGTACATAGAGTATCATGAATGCAGTGCTAGCCATCGCTTTAAGTTAAAATCAGTATTTTGCGGCAAAGAGTTGATAGACCAATAGTAAAAGCTTCTATAATAAACATCATTGTACAATGAAATAAACCTGGTACTGAGTAAAATCGCAAAAATGTGAAGAGCGAGAAGGACGTGTTCACTTGCCATTGTCCCCATACATCTAATAAACTTTGTTAGTATGCAAAAACAACCATGTATTCATAAACGTATGCAGAGTGAATGTGTGTGTGAATTAACATGACAAAAATCAGCAGGAAGTTTAATTTCATTTAGTCATGAAACATCAACTGAGTTTTGTTGTGAAAATACAAAAAATTTACTTTTCACAAAAATAGGTAATAAATATTTCCACTGTTCAGCACCACAAAAACTATAAGTATATTTATCTATTAATATATTATAAATACATGTCTAAAAATAATGTTATATTTTTAAACTATAATTGTGTGTATGTTTAAAAAATTATTTGTGTCAGAATTTATAAAGCCATAAATGTTTTTCATATATAATATTTATAATTTTTTTTTTCAAATTTCAAATGACAGTTGAAAACAACTTGAACAAAAACAATGTGTTTACAGAAAATGGCAGTGAATCTGTCAATGGTTGAAAAAAAAACTGCAAAGGATCATGGGTAATGCACATTATTAAATAGTTTCTATAGTCGATGACAGCCTATTCCTTGAATGAAATGTTAGGGTGCTGAACATTATATAAATATTCATTTTGATCATCGTAATAAATTATATAAATCTGCATTTCTTTGACAGTCACACAAAACTTTATTAGTACCGACTCCAAGATTGAGAAATGGTTTATTTAACAAGATTGTACCCCCTAAAGGTGCAAATAAAGACATGATTAGAACATGTTCAACATCACAGGTATGTCAAATTGTATTGAAGTAGCAAGTTCATTAAGAAAAAATAGTAAAAATTCGTAGTTTTAATCTGCATGTTGACACTTTTGTGTTCATGTGTGCAAATCTTGTTACCAAAATAACCTTCTGCAACTCAAGCCTCCTTTATGAATGCATGATTTGAACACTGCAGTTCATATGCTTATTAAATAGTTCATTTGCATAATTATCACTTATGAATGTATGACTTCAACACTGCAGTTCATATGCTTATTAAATGGTTCATTTGCATAATTATCACTTATGAATG